CTCTTGTCCTGTCACATCAGATTCCTTCAGGCTGAAAAATGTATGGATGGAGTCGATTTCAGGGTGTCCAGCCTAGCTTGCAGCTGCAGGTTTTGTCAAATTCCCATCCTGAGTTTCCTCTGGGTCAGAAGATTCTGGAAAGACTGTAGCTTTTTATGGCCATGGCCTGTGGTATGAACATTGGTGTGGGCCTTTGCCTTCTGAGGTGATATGAACAAAAGCTCAGGTTCCAGTACATGTTGAAACCAGGACCAGCAGTCCCACCAGCCTTCAGCCAGACTTTGCCCTTCCCCTGTTCTCCCAGCTTCATCACCTGCCTGCCACCACATCTTAGTTCTCACCTGTTCCCAGATGTCATAAACAACTAGAGTCACTTCTTCCTTATCCACCACGATGCGTCTCTCATAGGTATCCTCTGTTGGAAAATAGGGAGAGGGAATAAACTCTATTAGGAGGTTCCCCAACATTTGTGAGACCTGGTAATCAGGGACACCTCAGATCTCAGCACCAGAGAAACCATCCTGCCCTCCGGCCCCAACTTTAGGGAAGCTGCCATAGAAAGCATTGGAGAAGCTTCTGTTAAGCTCTGTCCTCCAGGGGCTGCTCAGGTCATCAGCACTTCCTTCCCTGACCAGGGCCCCAGAGCCCCCTCAACCCCTGCAGGGCTTCCCCAAATACCTGAGTTCTCTGGTTCATGAGCACTGTCTCCCTGGAGACCACCAAAAGTGCCTGCTAGGGTGCTCTTGCCCACGCCACTCTCCCCCACTAGCATGACCTTGAAGATGCCATCCTTTTGAGCAGGGGGAGCCTCCCCTGAGCCCAGCGAGTCAGAGGAGCCAGAGGATGAGGCCTGAGGTGGCCAGTCAAGTTCATCTACAGCCTGGGCCCGCCGGAGCTGGTGCTTGTAGGGGACAGGCATACTGCCTCTTCGTCTGGGGGCCCCAGGGGCAGAGGGTAGCCCGCCCTGGTCCAACTCTGCCAACAGTTTCTCTGGATTCTTCAGCAATGTGGCATCTGCTTCTGGGGTGGGGTGGGAGGGCAAAGAAAAGGAAGCTATGAGTGGGATATGCCCAGCCATCTGCAGAAGGCTCAATCCAGGCTATTCCAGCATCAGAGGCCCAGCCACACCCACTTGATGACCATTACCCAGAAGTAACTGACAATCTCTGGCCTGACCTCTTACAGTAAAGTCTCCAGAAGCCTGAACTGGAGCCAACATGATAGCTTCTCCAATGTGGTCCCAACCCCAACCTAGTCAAAATGTGCCCCATGCAGGGAAGGGACCTGAATGCAGGCTCACACACCCACTCACACATTACACTGGCACACAGGCACACCCCTAGACTAGGCCTCTGGCCCTGTGGGGTGCAGCAGGGATTAGGGGAAGCTGCCTGTCTTTCCACCAAGAGGCCCTTCCTCCTCCTGTTTCCAGCACTGGTAATCCCCAAACCGAGGAGAAGCAGAGAGAATGAGAAGCTGAAGCTGCTGCCCAGTGTCTGGGGAGTAGGTATAGCAGAGTAAAAAACTTTGTAGCGAGCCTCTTCCTAGGAAAGGGCCTTTGCTTTTTGAGATGATGTGCATGTTGGGTCTCTGTGGGCTCTGTGTGTGTGTGAGAGAGAGACGGGGGCTGCTGCTTCCCGTGGCCCTATAGGTGAGCATCCCTCAGTGCGTGGTTGGGTGTGAGAATCCTGCATTCCTGTCTGTCCCTGTGAGTGGGAGAGAATATTGTGTTCATAGAGAGGTAGAAGTAGAGAGAGAGTGTGTGTGAGAGTGACAATGCCAGGGTCAGGGTAACTGGAGGAGGAACAACAGACACAACAAAGGGGGCTGGAGGGAGGCTGGAAATAGCCCAGGATCAATACTTGGCCAGCAGCCAGGGCCTCCAGGAGCCAGAAGAACCCTTACAACAGGTCCCCGGGGTAGCCCCCTGCCTGTGATTCCCAGGCTTGGGGGCTGCCCCTTTCTTCTCCCCTTCCTTCTTGCCCATCCCAGCCTCGGGAATGAGGCTGAGCTAGGGGCCATGTACCAGTTTCTCAAGCAGAGCCCTGGGAGTGATGGAGGAGGGGGCATTTAGGCAGCTCTTCCCCTCCACCCTAGCCTAATCCCAGTCCTTGTGTGAGCAGGGGTCTTCTCCACTTTCTGAATTGCTCTTCTCTTGCAGACTGGGCTCAAGCTCCCTCAACCCCTAGTTCTGACCTCCCCATCAAAGCTTCAGCTCCCACCCCCATGGTTTCAGCAACAACCTGCCCAGGTTATCCCTCACCTGGCGTGGGCGTCCCTGGAGGGGAGGCCCGGTGGCTGCCAGAGGAGCAGAGTGCTGTGGTTTCTGTGTCCATGTCCATGTCGGTGTCCAGGTCCGTATGCATCGGTGTGCGTGTGCGTGTGCAGCCCAGCGGCTCGCAGCACCCGCTCCCTCACTCAACAACACTGTCAGCTTTTCCCTTTAAATACCACCCCCCAACACACATACCCTCCCCACAAGACACCTGGGGAAATTGTCCCGCCCCCTGATGAGGTCACACATGCTAATGAGCAGTGATGTCAGCGGGATTCCCTCCTTTCCGTCCCCCCCTCCCTTTCCTTTGTATCGTTTCCCTCTGGGAGCATACACACTGCAGAGCCTGGTTAAGGCATGACAGAACAGTCAGGGGGCAGAACAGACAAGGGTTGCTGGGGGTGTCATGGGTAAGGGAGCTGAGGGTGGGAGAAGGCAGGGACCTCGGGAGGTGAAGATCTTTCTCCAGCAGCCAGGACTATGCATCATTTGTCTCTTGTATTTCCAGCCCACTAGCCCAGTGTCCAGCTTAAAGAGTGTGCTCAGTGGCTGCACAGGGGGAAGAGGCAGAAAGACTAAAAGCTGGTTTGAAAAACGAGATATAGGTCAAAAGAGGTGTGGGGACTGAGGCACAGCCACCCTGCCACCTTTTCCTTCTCCAGCCTGCCTCTTCTGGGCCAAGAGCCACAAAAGTACCCATTTCCCAGCCTCTAGGCAGACGCTCTAAGGAAGGAAATACAGCTGCTTCATTTGGGCAGCTTCATTTTACCACTAAGTTCAGGTAGGAGCAAAACATTGTGGAGGCTCCTCCACCTTCTCTCCCTGCCAGGCCCACCAAGCCAACAATAATCAGAGCAGGGAAAAAGGACCAGACAAAGCTAGCTATCTCAAACACGAAGTTCCCAATCTTAAGTGGGGCAGAGGGAGAGCGCCGGCTACCTCCCAACTCCCCTACCCCACTGTTAATGCTTTTTGGTGAAACTGCCAGGACTTCTAGGCTATGCAAGGCAGATGCACAATGGATGATGTCTGGCTGTTTGACGAAGCCCAGATAGTACATATCTTACTGTTCCTTTTATGCCCAGTTCCCTTTTCTTTCAGGTTTCTTCTCCTGCCTCTTTCCTGCCTGTCCTCCTTCCTGACACCCTTAAGCTCCCAAAAACACACTCTGATTTCCTTTCCTTGCCCCATTTTTGCCAGATGCTGTGCTAAGCACTTTCCTGCATTATCTCCTTTCATCTTCTTGACCCCAAGGCTCACATGGTAGGTAGGTGGCCTGTCCCTAAAGCAATCCTGCAGCTGGAAAATGGGAACACCAGGAATCCCACCCACATCTTTCCAGTGCCAAAGATTTTTTATTTCTACACTATGCTGCTTTCCTTCTCTTAAATATTCCAACTGTCTCCTATTATTGGGAACAGTCTATCCTGCAATCCTCAGCAGACTTTTCCAATGGAAGAGGTAACTAATCATCTTGGGAACAATATGCAGTTGACGGTTCACTTATCTGGAGGTCAACTACAGGGCAACAGTACAGGGTTTGAGGAAGCAGAAAGGACTCCTTAGCAGCTAAAATATTCATACACTTTACTCACTGGGTAGATTCTCCAGTCCTAAATCATGGCCTACTTATCCTTACTTTTATTCACAATTTTAATGTGTCCATGTGTGTTCCTGTACTAGTAGATTAGAAACACATTTAGAGTAGCAAGTGACCCCTGGTAGCCAGGGAAGTAACACCACACACACAAAAAAACATTTATTGCACTCATATGCATTTTATAAGTGGTCTGAGGTCATTTAGCATAAAAGCAAATAGCTCCCCATACTCCTACAGTTACAGTGTCAGGAGACACTGCTGGAGAAAAGCCACTGGTTTCTATGAATGATCCTCAGCTATTCAGAAAATTTTTATTATATTGCAGATGTGCTGAAGACAAGTGTAACATTTTAGAATTACTTCCTTCCAAAATGAATATTTTTATTTTTTTCAGAGAGAGGGTCTGTCCCTATTGCCCATGCCCAGGCTAGACTGCAGTGGTGCGATTATAGGTCACTGTAACCTCAACCTCCCGGGCTGAGCATTTGCCTGTGTCCAGGCTCCCTTAGGAATGGGAGGTCCTGTGGAATAGTGGGACAAGGGTGAGATTTGGAATGGAGTAGTGCCAGGTCTAAATCCACCACTTGGTAGAGACTGGGCCAATCTTCGGATTTCCCTGAAGCTCCTCCTGAGCCTGCGAAATGGGGTTTATGATGCCCATGGCCCAGCTCTGTTGTGAGGGTTCACTTCAGGTGATGAAGAATCTGGCATCATTAGGCACTCACTCTTTTTAAAAAAAAAAAAAAAAAAACGTCAATAGCAAATTTTGCCTAGACAGGCACTCACTCTTTAACCACCTTGGTGCTTCTGCAGCCTTAGGCTGTGTGGCTGGGGGTCCTTCTTCCCTCCCAGTGAGGCCTGGAGCTTGGTTCAGGCCCATGATTTCCTTTCCTTTTTTTTAAATCTATTTATTTATTTTGAGACCAGGTTATGAGACTAGCTAGTTTTTGTATTTTTGGTAGAGACAGGGTTTCGTCATGTTGCCCAGGCTGATCTTGAACTCCTGGCCTCAGGCAATCTGCCTGCCTTGGGCCCCCTAAAGTGCTGAGGTTACAGGCATGAGCTACTGTGTCTGGCAGAATTTTGTTTCTTAAGGACCGAGTTCTGGTATCTTTTTTTTTTTTTGAAAGGGAGCCTCGGTCTATTGCCCAGGCTGGAGTGCAGTGGTGCGATCTCAGCTCACTGCAACCTCTGCCTTCTGGGTTCCAGCAATTCTCCTGCCTTAGCCTCCCAAGTAGCTGGGACTGTAGGTGCATGCCGCCACGCACAGCTAATTTTTTGTATTTTAGTAGATACAGGGTTTCACCATGTTGCCCAAGCTGGTCTTGAACTCATGAGCTCAGGCAATCAAGCCTTGGCCTCCCAAAGTGCTAGGATTACAGGCGTGTGTGAGCCACTGCTCCCAGCCCTGGTATCGTCTTTTATCTTAGATTCTAGACTCTGATTCACAGCCTGATTCCTATCTCATGCTGAAAATGCCTCCTGCCTTCCCACCAAGAGCCTTGATGTGGGTCCCACACTCGTAAGACCAAGCACCTTGGATATTGGTATCTATCTTGACGAATTTTAAGTTGCCTCATTGCTTTTTGTCTTGGGCCCTGGTGGAAATAAACCTGAGTGACTGCTCCCCAGTGCCATCACTTGGGCAGAACCCTCTGTCTTAGTTTTCCCATGCTGCCTGTATAAGGTCAGTCCCCTATCCCAGCTACCTTGGGGCTTCACTATGGCTGACATGAGTATTATTACTGCCTACACCCTGTACAGCATACACCTAGAAACTAAAGAAACTTCTTTCAGGCCCACTGATCTATAAGCACAGGCCTCCCTAATGAACTCTGCCCTAAGTCCTCCTTCCAGCATTCAGAAGCATTCCACCACAAGGAGCAGTTTTACCTGAAGTCTTTGTCCACTTTCAGTTTGCAATACCACTAGGAGAGAAAAGGTCTGGATAAAGGGATGAAGATTATCAGGCTGCAGGTAATTGAGGTGGCTATGGGGAAGAGAAGAGCAAAGGAGAGGGCAAAGACCAGGCTATGGAGAGGCAGGGGAGGGAGAATCAGTGCTTGATTATTTACACTGGGCCTGACGTTGAGTGGACCCAGGACTGTTTGTACTTAGGAAGGAGGGCCCAAAGGGAGAACAGTAAGCAAGAACCAGGTTCTCTGGAGCCCACTCCCCAGTCTCTGGAGAGGGTCTGCAGTGAAAGGAGCTTGGTTCTTCCCTGAGCCAAGGTGCCAGGGTCCCAGAACTGCACATGGACCCATACCCCTCTCTGCTACTTCACCAGGCTCTTGCTCACTAGGAGAAAGGAAAATTGTGCAGTTAGTGCTGGTTTTGAAGATGCTGACAGGCTGTAATCAACAGGGCCTCCCTACCAGGTGTGGGGCTAGGCTGGGTAACAGGCTTCACTGGGTATGGGGCTAGACAAGGAGAACATGCAGGGAGCCTCTATCCCCAGGGACTGACTCCATTAGGGAATTCCTCAGCTTTGCTCCTGAAGCATCACTCCCACCCCTACAACCTCCTTCTATGTCTTTTGCCTCGATTTTCCTTCCAAACTCAGGCAGCTTCTATCACTTTGCTAAGTAGGGGCTGGGTTCCAACACTGCTTGCAAATCATTCCCTCCATTACCCGCCCCTCGCCGCCCCAGCTCTGCAGCTCTGGCCGCTGCTTGTGCTCTCAAGCCCAGGGTCTCGCCCTCTTGTCTCTTCAGTTTGCTTGTCCTGTGGACACTTCCCCTGCCTGGAATTCATAGCTCTATTCCAACAGCATTCTTTAGAATCCAGTTTGGGCCCTCTTCCAGGCAGACCTCTTGGATTTGGCCATGGGAATGCCAGCACCTCATACCCTGAATGTTTGTGAATTTTCCCTCTACTCATCTTTGCCTGCTTTGAGGTATCCTGGCTGATAATTCCATCTGTCTTGCATAGGACAGACTGCTAAATGCCTGGTGGGCATGGAGGGTGGAGGGTAGGAGTCATGACTCCTGTGTCCCACCACAGGAGTGGTGCTTGGGGAATGCTCCATAAACGACAACCTTCCTGACTGCAGGGCCCAGCTGGCTCCCCTCACTTCTATCCTGGCCGTTAGGAAAGAGGCTTGGTGCACACCCCTGGAGTCAGTCACTGCAGAGCTGGGCCCCAGGCATTTGAGCGGAAATGGAGTGGGCTGGTCCTTATGGTTCCTAGAATTTTTTTTACCTTCTGTGTGGTTTAAAAATCAAGAGTGCAGGGGTTGGAAGATGAACAGGAAGAGGGGAGGAGGTAGAGGGCCAAGCAACGGCTTCCACAGGGAGAAGCGGGATGAGGTGAGCATAGACCGAGATGGGAAGAGGCGGGGCTCAGGCTCACGGCTAATTTGCAAAATTTTGAGATGTATGATTCCTTTATTTTTGACCTCGACTGACTGAGCAATGCCATAGCTATGGAACAGAAGCATTTGTTGCACACTTTTTGTGAGCCAGACCCTGTAGGAGGGATTGTGGATGGCAAAACCTCAGATTCTGCCCAAATTCTCCTCTTGGGGGCTGAAGGGTCTCCAGTTAATTGGCATTCCGGTGCTTAAGGCCACTTTTGGGTGGAGGTTTGGCAAGGATGGAGTGTCCAGGCCTATGATCCTCTAAGAACTTTACTTTTTAAAAACAGCCACCCAAATGGCGGTGGCGTGGGAAGCAGGTGGGGGTGAAGAGACTGGGGTCTCTGGCTGTGTACAGAGGAGGCTCTGTGAGCCCTCTCCCTGCCTGAAGGACACCTAACTTTACAGCAGCTACACAGGGTCAACAGGAGGCCTAGCAAGTCCCCTCAGATCCAGGGACAGGGAGGGAAGTGGTGGAGGGGAGGCTGACCCACCCTCTAAAGGGTTGTGCCACCACGAGTAGTGCCCCAGAGGAGAGGCCCCAGTAGAGTCCCTAGGTCCCCTCAGGTAAGCAGTGGCTCATCCTCTGCTTCAACTACCCAGACCCCCGGTTCAGCCAGTGGCACCAGCAGCACATCATCCTCATCTTCTGGGGCCAGGACTGCTGTGTGGGGACCAGGAGGGCTTCGGGTTGGTCCTGGGGGCCCCAGGCTGGGCAGGAGGCGGCCTCGCAGGGCCTGCACCACTCCAGACAATAGTGATGGCTCTAGGGGCAGTGAGGGCAGTGGCCCTGGGGCTTCGGGGACAGTAGCAGAGGCTGGAGACGTGCTGGCAGATGGGAGGGCAGCCTTGATGGGCAGTGGGGGTGCCTGCTCCCCATCTTGCCCACCCACTGCCCCACCCTCACGGGCTGGACCTGTGCTGCCATCTAGAGCCTCAAGGGGAGCAGTGGAAAGTGTGACCTGGGATCTGGACTCAGAGGCCCGAGCTGGGGTGCTAGTTCGAGGAAGAAACCCCCAGCGGCGGAGACGGCGTACCAGGCGGCGCATCAAGCGGCCCCGCTGGCGACGGCGGGCACCTGAGGCACCTCCTGGAGTCATATCCTGGCGTAAGATCTGTAGCAGAGAACGCAGGTTGCCCAGCACTGAGTTCTGCAAGAGATGAGGAGGCCTCAGAGTCAGAGGGCCAAAGGCTGAATGAAGGAGGGTACAGGGGCAGGGCCACAGCAGAAGCGGGACCAGGAGGTGCTAGGGTTGTGGGGAGTGACTTACATCATTAGGATTCTCTGTAGGAAAGTCTTCTACAGGTGGGATGGCACCCTGGGCAATGAGCTGCCCATAGGAAGGGGGTGCCTGCTGCTGTACAATCTCGGCCTCCATCCGGGAGAGGGGGGCGAAGATGCTAGAAGGAATGAGGACTGCTTAGTTACTGATAGGTCTCAGCCAGAGTAGACCACCCCAGCCTGGTCAGTCCTCCCCCTTCCACACCTGGGCCAGGCTGGCTGGAGCTGTGCCATGGCTTTCCCAAAGGTCATCTGAGGTCCCTCCTCCCTTGAGACTGCTTTCAGGATCTGGACCTGTCCCTTACAGGAGACAACTGACAAGCTGATCATGGGAACCTCTCCCCAAGGTGGCTTTCATGGTCTCCCTTAGCTGCATGGCCCAGTCTCGCCCTCAGGCTCTACTCTGTTGCCAGCCCCACTCCCACTGACCTGTACTCCTGGGTGCGAATGGCATAGAGCTTGCAGGTGCAGCCCAGGGCGATGACCAGGAGCAGGCCACACACTAGACTGCCAATGACCGCAGCTGTGATGACCTTGCGGGGCAGAGCATAGGAGCAGTCCCACTCATCACTGCCGTCAGCACAGTCTGGCTGCCCATCGCACACCCACGTCTCATACACGCACTTCTCGTCCCGGCATCGGAAATTGCCAGGCTGGCAATGCCGACAGCGTCTCTCGTCTGCTCCGTCAGCACAGAAAGTCTGGTAGTTGCAGCGGTCAGCAGGCAGGTAGCAGGCTGTGGCACCAGAGGTGCCAGCAGCCCCACAGGGGAAGTGTCCAGGTGGGCAGCCTGGGCAGTCCTCCTCATCTGTGCCATCAGCACAGTCCCATGAGCCATCACAGCGCTGTGCCTCACTATAGCAGCGCTCACCTAGGCCTTCGCCAGCCCCCAGGCCAGAGCCTAAGCCGCAGGGTCTGTCCCAAGGCAAGCAGTAGCCCCGCACATGGTAGGTGGCATTGAAGCCACGACCACTGCTCCAAGCGACTGTGTGGTAGGATACAACAGCCTGGCCAGACAGTGTCTCCACAGTGACAGCCTTGCCATTGCTGAAGTGGGTGAGACTACGCAGTAGTCGGGAGCTCTCAGGGGGCCCAGGGCCATCATACACATGCACTGCATCTCCAAAGCCCAAGTCCAGGGCTGTGAAGCGCACGGCCAGCCGCCGGCCATCATGGGGGTCCAGCAGCCAATGGCAGGACTGGGGGTGGGAGACTGAGGCAAGGTGTGTATATCCAGGGGAGGAGAAGACCCCATAGAAGTCCTCCAAGGTGAGATTGCAAGGCAGGGAGGGGATGGGCCCTGAGGTCAGGCCAGGAAAGGGGTCTGAGGTGCAACCTGCTTCATCAGAGCCATCGCCACAGGCATCAATCCCATCACAGCGCTGGACAGCAGACACACAGCGGTGGTTCAGGCACTGGAACTCTTCCTGCAGGCACATCAACCAATCTGCAGAGGCACCATGGAGAGGGGCTGTGAAGCACCAAAGCCCTCAGGATCCTCCCCTTCTGCCTGGGGCTTTCATTGCTCCTCAGACATCCCTGTCCAGCCTACCTTGGCTGTAGGAGAGCAAGAAGCCCTGTCCCATGGGTGCTCTGGCCCCAGCATAGCTGTAAGTGATGGTAACATTGCCCCCAGGTAGCTGCAGAGGGCTGGGAGGTGCCTCACACAGGGAGATCAGTGGCTGGAGAGGGGAGCGTAGGGTCAAGTGCTCTGAGCCACAGGCCAGGTGTAGCTTCTGGAACCTATGGGAGTAGAGGAGACCAGGACGTGAGATGCTCTTGACTGCTGCTGGCTTTCTCCTCCCCTGGTGCCACCAGGCCCCTTCTATCCCAGGAAGCACAAGTCTGCTTAGCCATGATCCAAATGGCCAAATGAAAACTCAGTCTATTTATTTATTTAGAGATGGAGTCTTGCTCTGTCACCCAGGCTGGAGTGCAGTGGAGCAATCTCGGCTCACTGCAACCTCTGCCTCCCAGGTTCAAGCGATTCTGCTGCCTCAGCCTCCTGAGTAGCTGGGACTACAGGTGTGCACCACCATGCCCAAATAATTTTTTTTATTTTTAGTAGAGACGGGGTTTCACCATGTTGGCCAGGATGGTCTCGATCTCTTGACCTCATGGTCCACCCACCTCGGCCTCCCGAAGTGCCGGAATTACAGGCGTGAACCACTGTGCCTGGCCTTATTTATTTATTTGAGATGGAGTTTCACTCTTGTCACCCAGGCTTGAGTGCAATGGCGTGATCTCGGCTCTGCAACCTCCGCCTCTTGGGTTCAAACAAGTCTCCCGCCTCAGCCTTACAAATGGCTGGGATTATAGGTGCCCACCATCACACCCAGCTAATTTTGTATTTTTAGTAGAGACAGGGTTTCACCATATTGGTCAGGCTGGTCTTGAACTCCTAATCCATCCACCTCAGCCTTCCAAAGTGCTGGGATTACAGGTGTGAGCCATCGCTCCTGGCAGCCAAATTATTTTTAAGTCAATGTAGTCAATGGGGATCTTCCTAACATGGGCCAGTATCACCGTAAGACCGTAAGATACATCCTAGAACCCTTTGGAAAAACTGACTTAAGAGGAAGTATACTGCATTCCAGTTCTTGCAGCACTGTCACTCAAGTATGGTATCAGCAGTAACTGGTGATTACCATACAGTTCGATTAACCAGCACTCATCATCTTGCCCCACCCCACTGTGCCAGATGTGAGACCTGGCTTGGTTCTCCATGGCATTCTGATCCCTTTGCCCTGACAGCCTCTCCACAGGTTTCCCTCTCTGTTTGCCTACTCCTTTCTGGGTAAATTCATGGAAAGTGAACTATGTGAGGCAAATAGCTAGGTACTTAACATGGTCCCCAGATAATGATCCAAGGTCAGGGGAGCCTGGGGAGAGTTGGAATGTTTAAAAGACCTGGAGAAGCTAAGGAATGTCCTCAGCTGATTAAGGAGTAGTTCTGAATCTCAGGCAGGACACGCAGTGAATGGAAGGACTCCTCAGAACAGTTCTATCTGAGCCAAGGATCATTTGTAGAGTGGCCTCTGTCCTTTGGAGATACCCAGAACCCAAGCTAGGTGTCCACTCCAGCCCAGCTCCAATTCACCGAGTCTGGCCCAGAAAAAGTCAGGCTTTTAGGGTAAACTAGGCCAAATCAAATTCTACTCTTCCCCTGTTGACAAGGATGGAAATTCCATGGAGAAGTGATCCCTGAATGAGCCAGGCATGGTGGCTCATGCCTGTAATCCCAGAACTTTGTGAGGCCGAGGTGGGCAGATCACTTGAGGTCAAGAGTTCAAGACCAGCCTTGTCAATGTGGTGAAACCTCATCTCTACTAAAAATACAAAAAAATAAAAAATAGCCAGGCATGGTAGCGGGCACCTGTAATCCTAGCTACTTGGGAGGCCAAGGAAGGAGAATCACTTGAACCTGGGAGGTGGAGGTTGCAAGATTGCACCATTGCACTCCAGCCTGGTGACAGAGCAAGACTCTGTCTCAAAAAAAAAAAGAAAAAGAAAAAGAAGTGATCCCTGAAGACTTCCAATGGAGGGTAAGGGGCAGGGGAGAAGAATGAGTTCTTGCTCCGCTTCTCACCTGATGGTGACAGTCTGCTCCTTGCTGCCCAGGATGAGCCAGGTGCAGTTGACAGGAGACGTGCGGCTGTCCCGGACCAGGGGCCTCTGTAAGGTACCCTGAACTTCTAAGAGCACTGCTGGGGGGTCCTCACAAGCTGGAGAGAGGAACGTAGGACATTGGTAGTAGACAGCCCCTTGGCATGCCACCCTTCCCCCTCCCCTTGGAGGCTTATGGTTTCTAAAAGTCTGGGCTCTGCAAGTAGGAGCAGAGTATCTGCCTGCACCCACACACATCCTGGAGTCACAGCCGCTGGCTTTGCTCTTTCTCTCCCCGTTCTTCATAGCTTCACCAGTAAATGCTAATACCACAAACAATTCTGAGGTGTGCTTTGTGCCAGCCACTGAACCAGGAGGAGCAGGAAATACTGCCTCTACCCTCAGGGAGACTACATGATGGTTAGGATGATCAAGCATAGATATTCCCAGAAAAAAACAAACTAGTACATAGCAACTGCCAGATGAAGGTCCGCACCAAGCCTCAGTTTCCTCATCTATAAAATAAAGGCTAAATGATCTCCCCTCTAAAACTATGGTAGGTCCCATGAAGGAATAGAGAGTCCTTCTCTTGAGTGCCCCCTCTTTCCCAAGCCCACAGAGCCCCAGAGGTTCCCTCAACTCACCAGGATTTGGGAAAATAATTCGGTCTGGATGGGCCAGAGCGCCTCCTAGAGGAGGAGCGAGAAAGGGCAGGAGAGTGAGACCCCGTAGTTTTCTTCACCTGAGTAACTCAAGGAAGCCATCCGGGACTTCCGGGCAGTTAATAGGAAGAGGGAGTGGGGGTGGGAAAAGGTAGTGGCGCGGGACTTCTGCGGAAGGAAGGTCCGGCAGCGGGGCCGGTAGGGGTTGGTGGGGTGATCTGGGGAAGCCGGAGAAAGGACGAGGGCCGAGCGGAGCGGCTGGAGACTTCCTGGGGGTTGCGGTGGGCAGCGCTGGGGGTGGCGGCAGGGGCTGGGGGGAACGGGCAGGCAGGGTGGGGTGCAGGGCCGCATAGGAAGGAGTTAGAACTGCTGGCCGGGTGACAGCCCTGGTGCGGGTCTGGGGGGTGGTCTCGTTTCGGCCCTTACCAAGAAGGAGGAGGAGGAGGAGGGTGGCCGACAGCATCCTGGGCTGTCCGGAGGTGCCGGAAGAGTCCTGGAGCTTCTGTGGTCTACCCGATGAAGTCGCGGCGGAGCCCCGGGCGCCCAGGGTCCCCGGTGCCGCCTCCCCAAGAGGGCTCCATGGCCTGGGCTCGACCCGTGGTCTGGATGCCAGGGCTGGGGGCGGGGAGGCGGCGGCAGCCCGGGAGTAGGGGCGGTGCCTTTCGCCAACTTCGGAGTTGTTTTCTCCCGCCGCCGCCGCGCTCTGTCTCCCGGGGCCGGCTCTCGAAGCCCCAGGTCTCGGCACTGGGGTGCGCCCTCGTCTACAGTCCGCCCACAGGCCGCGAGCGCCCCTGGTCTGGCCTGGCTGCCACCTGCCGGGGTTTGAGACCACTTCCTCTTCGAGCCAAACTTTGCCGACTGTCAGCCCCGAGGGCCGGCCGGGCGGTGCTCCACTCTTCCAGCGCGTCCAGCCGGCGGAACACGACAGGGAAGCAGGGGAGGGGGAGAGGTGGCTCAGCCCGGCGCCCCGGCCCTTGCCCAGGCGGTACCCCCTCCCGCCCAGGGGTTGGAGTAGCCTGGGCGGGTGACGAGCTCGGTCCCACCCATGCCAATCAACGCGCGGGCCACGCCCACTTGCCCGCCTTAACCCCTTTCCAGCCCTGCCGGACTTGTCATACGGGGCCCCTCCTTGACTTGCAGCTTCAATTTCCACATTTAACCCTGCTTTGTTTAATCCTTGGGGTGTAAGACGTTTTTTGTTACAGGACACGTTTGTCACACGTTTGTCAAAGACGTTTGCTTATTCCATAACTGTGATGTCTTTCCTTTGGGTCCTAAGCTCTCCATACTTTTCTTGTCCCAGGGTCTGAGATCCAGCAGCACTTTTTTTTTTTTGAGACGGAGTTTCGCTCTTGTTACCCAGGCTGGAGTGCAATGGCGCGATCTCGGCTCACCGCAACCTCCGCCTCCTGGGTT